CACTTAGCTGCTTTTCTGGCGAGTCCTCCTTTTCTTTCCTTTGGGGGTTTCTTTGTCTACCCATGTTTGATCTCACTGACATGACTAGTTGTTGAGTCGTTCAGTGGCTGGACCCTGGGTGGCAGTGGCTGCTCCCTGGGTGGCAGTGGCTCCTCGGGCTGTGGTTGCTCCTTGGGCGGTTGTGGTAGCAGCGGCTCCTCTGTTGATAGCAGGGCCTCTGGTGGGTGCTGTTCACAGCTGTGGTGGCTCTTCTGGCTGGTGGAGGGAGGCTTCACACACAGCAACTAGGGGAACCCTGTTTGGGCACCAGTTGTTGGGGTCCAACCACAGCAGGTCCAGGGGTTCCCAAAGGTTTGGACGGAGACAGCGTTCAGTTGATCAGCAGCCTAGCCAGGTTCTCTAGCCAGGTTCTGTTCTCTATAACTGCACTATTATATATTTTCTATTATATCATTTAGAATTAAGATATTTTTTAATTGAACCCTTGTAAATTTTAGCACAATTTAATAAATTATGCTAGAAGCAATTCGGAGATTTTTCATGTAATGCATACACATTTTAATTAATATTTTATTAATTTTTAATTTTTTAATATTTTAATTTGAAATAATCTCATACATGTAAAAAAAACTATAAAATAATACAGCATATTATATGTACCCTTCACCCAATTTCTTAGGTGTTAATAATTTAAAAATAACCATTATACAACTAACAAAATTTGGAATATATTTTTCTTATAATCTCTTTAATGTTACTTAATCCATTTACTTTGTTTTTGTTAATCTTCACCCAAGGATATTTTTCCATTGAATTTTAGAGAGAGTGAAGGGAAAGGGAGAGACACATTGATTGGTTGCCTCCTGCACATGCTTTGATAGGGATTGGGGATCAAGCCAGCAACTGAGGTACATGCCCTTGACTGGAATCGAACCTGGGATCCTTCAGTCCACAGGCTAATGCTCTATCCACTGAGAAAAACAGGCTGCAGCTTAATTCATTTATTTTTAATCTATATGTGTCTTTATATTTAAAGTGGGTTTTGTTTTTGATTCACCCTCATAATTTGTCTTTTAATTGGTGCATTTATGCCACTGACTTTCAGAGTGCTTACTGATAGAGTTACTACCATATCAGGCGGCTGCTGGGGCTTCTGGGGAGGGCGCACTTTGCCGCCCCAGGACCCGCCGATCTCGGGTCCCGGGGCGGCAAGGCATGGCCGGCTGCTGGGGCTTCTGGGGCGGGCGTGCCTTCCCGGGCGGCTGACCTGCCCTGGATGGCGGCATGCTGGCGATTGGTGCTGTCCCGCCCTGCCTGCAGTATGCAAATTAGCCGCCATCTTTGTTGGCAGTTAATTTGTATATCACGCTGATTAGCCAATGGGAGGCATAGTGAAGGTACGGTCAATTACCATGTTTGTCTATTGAGTATAATAATACTTAAGAGATAAAAGCTATAATACTTTTAGCAAAAAAAAAAAGGAGATAAAAGCTAACATGAAATCTAAAATGTTCTAATACCGAAGAAGATGACTGCGGAGGAGACCAAGATGGCGGCGTAGGTAAACACCGGAGACCGCTGCCGCAAACAACCATTTCAAAAATACAACTAAAAGACGGAACGGACATCACCCAGAACCACAGGAAGGCTGGCTGAAGAGAGACTCTACAACTAGAAGGAAAGAGAACAGCAAACCGAGGCTCAGAGGAGGCGCAGTGTGGAAAATACAAAGGTGCCGAGGTGCGCTCGAAAGCGGGCTGGTGGCTGAAGGCGCGGTTGTCGTTTTCGGTCGGGAGTGAGTCTCGGACTCTGGGCTCCAGATCCGGGCGAGTCTCTGGGGACCCAGACTCAAACGGGAGAAGCGGGATTGTCCGGCATCAGTTGGAACCTGAGGGCAGCTTTCTCTCCGAGGTTTGCAGCGGCTGCCGGGGTTCTGAGAGGCAGAGCCTCTGGGAACGGGACTGAGAGCGGCCATAACTGCTCCCTCCGCCCGCCCTGTTGAGCCCGCCCCGCCCAAACCCTGCGCACAGCCATTTGCCGATCGCCTCAGGCAAAGGCTGGATTAGCGCCTCCCCAGAAGACAGACGTTTTCCACACAGCTGATTCCTACAGCCAGTCGGCCTGGTGGTCAAATCCCTCTAGTGTTAACTACAACAATTAAGGCTTGGCTAGAACAAGACTGCGCACAAAGACCACAAGGGGGTGCACCAAGAAAGCATAAAAGATGCGGAGACAAAAAAACATGACAGAAATGGAGGATATGGAGCTAAGAATCGCAATTTTGAGGGCTTGCTATAAACTTGAGCAGAGCCTCACGAAAACTAATGAGACCCTCGATGCTACGATAAAGAAATTAGAAAGTAAGCATACACGGACTGAAATAAAGAATATTATACCCAATAGCAGACCAGAGGAGCACAAGAATCAAACCAAAGATTCGACAAAAAACATCTAACTGGAAAAGCAAAATGAAAAAAGAATCTGAAGTGTGAAGATAGTGTAAGGAGCCTCTGGGACAGCTTTCAAGCGCACTATATCAGATAATAGGGGCCCAGAAGATGAGAGACAGCAAGATATTGAAAACCTATTTGAATACCCATACGATTGTCAGCTGAGTTCTCAACAGAAACTTTGCGAGGCCAGGAAGGAATGGGCAAGAAAATATTCAAAGTCTGGATTCCCAGGACCTTCACACC